AGAACAACACTCACATGTAGCCGACTGTTCCTTCTTTCTTCTTTCCACTCCCACACAGCTCAATTATGTCAAAGGACCGCAGCATTTGCTTGTTGACCCCGCAACCAAGAAATGATGAAAAAGGATCACAAGGCCATGGAAAAAGGCAGAAAGCTGATTGACCTAATTTTTTTATTTCTTATTATTACAACAAAAAAATTGTTTAAATCAAACTTGCTTTCTTTCTTTTTTTTTTTTTTTTTTCGATTCATATCTACAATATAATTCGTCAATTTCACTTTTCATGTGCATTAGTTGAACTCATATTTTATTTAAGTTTTTGAACTTATGAAACGCGCGTTTACACCTTGTCACTTGTTTAATCGGTAATATAAATTGAACGTGGATAAATCAACCCCACTTTTATATGACGAAGAGGGAGAGGACTTATGTGTGACTAAGGTCATGATTCTCATAAAACCTAATCACGACGACATTCTGTGCTATAATTCTCATAATAACTTTGATCTTGCAATGTTTTTTTTTTTCTCAAAAACGAATGATTACATGCAATATAATGGCTAGCACATGGCTGCATAAAAAGCAGGACGAGGAATCCAAAGCATTTGGAGCAATAAGGTAGGGAGAGAAGTTATTCAACACACTGAAGAATTGTGTTGAGTATGATCCGGACATGTTTAAAGCACTTTTAGTAGGCTTGAAACCATATATGTTCACATGTTTCAGCGGATCTAACCAAACTCCATTACTTACATTAGTTTGTTTCCTTAAACGCCCCCCTAATTTCATTGCACTTGGTGGTTGTGTTTGGCATGCGTCGACATGCCCATGGAACATGCGTGTGAGAGTAACAGGGTTTCGGTGGCATTGTGAAGAATAATATCGTTTTGATATCCACTTAAACTGGTCAAATAATTTGTAGAACGTAAAAGGGCAATTCAGGACACCAATTTTTTTTCTCATTACGGGGTTAATGAATAATTTGTATGAAAACGGTGACTATAATTACATGGAGAAAATGACTCCTAAATAAGGTTTTTCATCAAAAACAAGATTAGCATCATATGGTTGTAACATTGTCATAGTTGTCAAGGATGACATACATGGAAGGAAGGGCCATCTAGCTTGAAGAAGGTGGTGGTTTTGACATTACATGGACTTTATATAAGTTGGTGAAAAAGGAAATTCATAGATGATCAGTTTCTTCAGCGTGGCAAAAATAGATGGATAAAATGACAAATAAAATGGGTGATTGTGGGGTTTCACTTTCAGAATCTAACAACAGATGGTTAGAATGATTTACCATCCCCATGCATGAAGACAAATGATCAAAGTTTTGTGGCAGCATTGAGATTGTGATTTTTCTGTCCTTCCTTCCTTACCAAGGCAGGAGACTAATTCTCTTACCCAACTCTCTCTCTCTCTCTCTGCTTCTTTAGTTAGTGTGGTTAATTAGCTGGCTCTTGCTTCTTTAGTGTGGTTAATTAGTTGGCTTCCATCATTATTATTTGAAGAACTTGAGAGCAATGTTAAAGTGTAAATGTGGACAAACCACCAGTTTTATCCCGAAAGCTAGACCAAAAATCTATGTAGTGTTTTGCTCTCATTTCAATACCAAAGTTATACCAAAATTTCCTTATAGAATAGTATGATGATAGCATTTTTACCCAACAGCGTGACATCAATGATAAGATTGTGGCAATTATTATATGCTTCTTTTTAAAAATTAGTTTTGTATGGAATCGATCTATGACATGTTGGCATTTTGCATAATGTTCTTTATTTTGGAAAGGGGAAAAAAACTATTGGATCATGTAATTTTCTCAAGGAATAAAAAAAATCTATAACAAATTGGGGGAGGACAGGAGAAGGAGGGCATATTTGAACCCGGACCTATTGACCGGCCCTCACCATAGCCCACCAACTACCCAGCCTATTTCATTTGGGCCACAGCTTTAGCAAGCCCCTTTTCATTCTTGGGTTGGTCTTTCGCTACCGCTTCTCCGATGAATGGGCCTATATAGAATCAAATTGAAAATTTTGGAGGTCGATTTTCCCATGTAGACTTATTTGGAGATAAGATTAACAAGAGAAATTTATTTGGTTTTAAGTCTATTTTTTGTCAAATTTATTATTGTACCCATACCCTTTGAAAAAACAATAACTGACGTCTAACTTACCGCCTCCTTCACATAAATTATATCATTTAGGTATATATGACAACCTTTAATTGAGTTATATAATAAAACTGTTTATAAAATATTATAATAATTAACGGAAGTTTTATATGGAAGTTATATATTATAATAGTTATATATGGAAGGTTAATATATGAATAATTCATTGATCTATTAAGTTAAAATCATATCACAAAATTTCTTTAACATTAGTGTTACTATAGTAACACTAATTTTATTATAGTGACACAAATGTTACTATAACTACACGAATGTGATTGTTTTCCTTAAAATACTTAATACCCAAAATGAAGAATTTCACCATTTCAAATAGTAACACAAACTCAACCTCAATTATGTAAACCTTTAGACGTATATTATGTAATATACATATTTAATTTTCACAGTAACATCAAAGGTTTGTGCTCAGTAACACATCGATTTTTATAAAATACAAGATAATAAGGTTTTCACAATAACATCAATTTTTGAAAAATTATAGTAAAAATACGATCCACAAATTAAAATTTTACAAAATTTCTATTAGTAGCACACCGTTGACAGTTGAGTTAGGACAATTAACACCAATCAAGAACATCAAGATATCGAAATTCTGAAATCCATTTTTCAGTTATCACACAGTATCATGATCTATTTCACAGACACACAACCAAGGTATTTCAAATGTCTTGCACAATAAAATCGAATTATATAACACTTTAATTTAACAATAATGAATCTCAAATTTTAAATTAGGAATGTTTAAAAAAAAAAAAGGACAGTTTGAATTATATATTATGTATAAGTTTTTTAAAACTTACAATGAACATCAACTTTCATATAAAATCACATATCTTAACTTTATTTTTGAATCTCAAAGTTGTTAAGATGTTTTGAACGGAAAGAATCAACTGTAATTTTGTCAATGGACTCCACAGTAAACTTGAAGAGTAAAATCGAAATTAGAGTTGTGTTTGTGTTACTATTTAAAATGGTGGAATTCTTTATTTTGGATATTGAGTATTTTAAGAAAAACAATCTCATTCGTGTCACTATAATAACACTAATGTTAAAAAAATTTTGAATTATTAAGGAATTTTTGTGATCTAATTTTGACTTAATAGGCCAACGATTTATTCGCACATTAAGCTATCATATATAACCATCAGAATATATAACCTCAATATAAAATTTTCGTTAATTATCATAATATTTAATAAATGATTTTCTTATTTAACTCAATTAAGAATTTTTATATATACCTCAATGATTTAACCTATGCGACTTTTCATAATTAGACAAAATTAATACCGTTATGGGTAATTTTGATATTTAAAAAATAAATGGAGTTAAATACTTACATATAAGTTTAAAAATATACTTATCCCTAAATAAACTTTCTTTTACAATTTAAATCATTATAAATCCATCTAAGATGACTAGCTTGCAATTTTCGCTAATCAAATTATGGAGTTATATATAAGTGAATGAAGACCGGTAATAGATGGTCACGAGACTTCGTTTTTAACAAAAAAGACAAAAAAAACGACGGATTTCTTACGGTGTCGTACCATAATATTAGAAGCATTGGCAAATCAAAAGACAAATGATAAAGTATTACTAGGTTGTAATCACGATGAAGTGAGTGTAGTGGTTGTTGACGTGTTTAAACAGTGTCTCATAGTCAACATCAACTTCTTTAATTCTGATTTAGCAAGGTTTATAAAGGTCCATTTATATATCAGAGATGAGCAGACTGCACCAGAGACTGGCCCAAACTATTCACAATGGGCTTCGAAGCTGGACCTATTTATGTATACCTGATCCAGCAATTTTGCCATTTACCGCAATTTTTCTAGGAAGCATAGTGTCATCACTGTCCATCTCTAAGGTGGATCCGATTTGCAATGGGAGGGGCTAGCCATATAATATGGCACATATTCCACCAAGGTGCTTGTGCTTGTGCTTGAAAGAGTCAACAGTTCGATAGCAATATTACTGCTCTAATTATTATTTTAACAATGTTTTTGGGAACTTCTTGTTTTTATGAAAACATATATCATTTATTCCGTACCAAGTGTTGGACTTGGGTTGAGGTGAATGAGGTACAAATCAAACCTTTGACATTACATTATGTCTAAAATTCACTCTCAAAATAAATCTAATTAGATTCTACGCTCTACATTCTTTACGTCTTTTGGTTTATCAACAACTTGGCCGAACCATCAAGATAGATGACAATTGCACTCACCAACGCCTCCTCCTACGTTATCGCTAACTAGAGTGTTCTTATCCTATCAAGCTTGATTTCAATGACTTCCATGGATCGCTCTTTCTATCATTATCAATGGAATGCCCCAATTAGTAATCTACATGAAGTGAATAACATCAAATTTAAAAATAAAATTTCACACTAGTTAACCTATTACTTCTACCAACGTGTGAAGAATGCCTTGCAAACCATTCTACCAAATATTTGTCCTAATTCCTTTTTTATTTGGACAATACAGCCATAATGTTTGCAAATACAATACATGATCATGTACATTTCCCACTGAATCTAAGATCTTTTTGGGAGGCCCCATAGGAGTTATACGGGCTTGCAATGAGAACCATCAGCTTGAGATTATTCCAGTGAAGCTGAAAGAACTGGAGGTGGAGGGCTACATCTTAGATTTTGAATGCCACGTGGCAATGCCAGCAGCCAATCAGACCATCACTGCCCTATCCTCTTAGATAAGCTCCTGGATACATTAACAGGTTCTTCTGTCCACAAGCCTCATACCCACCAATCTATCATTGAGTTGAAGAAAAATTTCCCCCATGGCCTCTGCTTGTGCTTCTTCAGCGATTGCAGCTGTTTCTCTCTCTTCCCCAAGGCAAGTTCTCAGAACTCCCCTGACATAAATCATATCAATAATAAGTTCATAAGACGATCATGAAATGCAATTATCATCACACTAGCTTGTGCATGTATGTCTGTATGTACATATATCATAGTCACTCACATCTGTTGTTTGTGAAGCATATAGTCAGTTTTTCATGGGATTTTCTAGAAAAGATGTCCACACATACATGTTTTACGTAATCGAAAACACAGATACTAACTAGGTAAGTGAATTAACAGCACCCAGAAAAACGGATCAATTGTGGGAGCAACAAAGGCTTCTTTTCTTGGTGGGAGAAAACTTAGAGTGAGCAAGTATACTGCACCGGCTAGCTCAAGATCGGTCACTGTTTCCGTTGCAGCTGACCCTGATAGGCCCATCTGGTTCCCTGGCAGTGTTCCTCCTCCATGGCTTGATGGCAGGTTAATTGATTTCTGTATCTTTTTTATTGTATAAAAGAGGGCAGGTGTTGTTGCCAAAGATTAATATCTGAATCTTGCCATGCAGTCTTCCTGGAGACTTCGGTTTTGATCCTCTTGGTCTAGGTAAGTCAGAGCTAAACTTTTGGGTTCCAACCCTAAAGCATAGCTGGATTTAGCTTCTCGGTTGTTCCTCAAAGTAACACTCAACTGTATTATTACCTCGATGTTGTGTCTTCTGCAGGATCTGATCCGGAGACCTTGAGATGGAACGTGCAATCAGAGATTGTGCACTGCAGATGGGCAATGTTAGGCGCTGCGGGTATTTTCATCCCTGAATTCCTAACAAAGTTAGGCATTCTAAACACCCCATCCTGGTACACTGCTGGAGAGCTGGAGTACTTTACGGATACAACCACACTCTTCATTGTCGAACTGATTTTCATCGGTTGGGCCGAGGGCAGACGGTGGGCAGACATCATCAAGCCAGGGTGCGTCAACACTGACCCCATCTTCCCCAATTACAAGCTTACAGGGACGGATGTTGGGTACCCTGGTGGCTTATGGTTCGATCCACTTGGCTGGGGCAGTGGTTCTCCTGAAAAAGTCAAGGAGTTGAGAACAAAGGAGATAAAAAATGGGAGGTTAGCCATGTTGGCTGTGATGGGTGCATGGTTCCAACACATCTACACTGGAACAGGACCAATTGACAACCTCTTTGCTCACCTTGCTGATCCTGGTCATGCCACTGTTTTCGCTGTAAGTAGAAACCCTAGGAATTTAATCTACGGCCATATCTAGTGCATATTTCAATACCTTTTCATTGATTTCTGAACATGCAAATACATACACAAATACACACGAGAATCATAAATGAATATATATTTCACATGCAATAAACACTCTGATTCTAACAATTTCACTAGAAAATAAGAATAATGGTTTCGACAAATGAATTCTGAATGAGTACATGCAGATCTCATGACCGTGCATTAATACCAAGATGTATGAATTCACAAAGTTCAAATTGACTTTGACATATAAATGCAAGCAGATCTGATCATAGTTTTTTGTGATTTTCCATATTGTCTTTGCAGGCTTTCAGCCCCAAGTGATAGAGGCAAGGGAAACTGCTAACTAGGGATTAATGTGCAGGAGAGATATAAGTGAACAATGTGAAAATGAATTTGACATATATCTCCATTGTGATGTTTGCATGATTACAACTTGTTTCCCCTCTTGTTTATATCTATTGCATAAAGTTGGTGCAGTGTACAAATACCGCCTTGAACTTGAAATGTCAGAGCATAAACTCAGGTCCTAATGAAACCTCCATAGATGCAATCATGCATATGTTAAAGGAAAATCTTAGACTGGCGAAGTTTTAAATTCAAGGTTATGAGACATCATGAGTATTGTGTCAGGCCCAATTAGCCTACACAATCTTTTTCGCTTCAATGCTCCATAGAAGCACTCAACACTAGGAAGTGGTAGGTTAGGGGCAGTATAAAACTAAAGGAAAATCTTGGACCAATAACCTTGTTGGCCATTACGAGACATTTCGGTGTAATGGAACTCTAATAAAAATATGACAGCAAATTCATCTAATTACACTACATCAAACGTCAACTACTACAGAAGGTTAGGATGTGGTCTTGGGGCAATTCTTCCAGCCAAGCGACCATGTTATTTGGAGTGCTTCTAGACCAACATGTATTACGTCTAAGTAGCAAATAGATAAAACAGATAAACATGCATGAAAAAGCCGCAAGATTGTACAAAAGTTGAATTCCAGACTCTCTGCATTCAGGTCATGAATATGTAACATGCATGTAAGAGAGATTCTATCAGAGTTGAATTCAAAAGTTTGTGAAGTAGTACAGCAGCCATCTCTTGCAAAGCGCCAAAGAAAAGACACAGTTGGGGCATGTTTTTTGACGCGTTGAATGGAATCATACGAAGACTAGGATTGGCTGTCAAATGTAAATCTGCCTGAGAATTGGAAGTAATTCAGGTAACCAGGAAAGTGAGTTAGCCGCAGCATGATAAAGGCATCTATTTATGGTGACCAGTAAATAGAAGTCATCAAGCAGAGCAATAAAAGAATCTGATCAAGTTATGCCAACCTTCCATGCCTTCCATGATTTTAGATTCCCTTTTCACCTTTGCCGCTAAAAGGTGCAAACTTTGATGATGTAATATGACATAAAACACAGTTAAGACTTCCTGATGTACATTGTATTAGCTTGATTCTTAATATAGATTAAGGAAAAGATAATAGGGATGAGAATAGAAGAATAAAAAGAGATGAGAAGTGAAGAATAGAATTAAGGGGATGAGAAATAGAAGACAGAGAGGAAGGGAACAAGGATATCTAGTCAAACAGGCCTTAATAATATTCAATAAGTCAAGTCTAAATAAAACCCTAATATGCATCCCTTTTATATAGGAAAACCAAAGCCCTAAAACAAATAAATAATAACAAATAAACCTTCAATAGTTAAAAAAAATTATTTAAAAAATATATACTAAAAATATCCAAATAACTCCCATAATTAATCTATAACATTTATCCAATTCCAACGCGATCCTTATCATTCTCCTTTGGTTAAGAAAAACTCTCCTCCGGAGAGTCATCAAAGCCAAAATATTCTTAGAGTGCATAATCAAGATGGTAGAACTCCTCTATAATGAAAGAAGCATCTATAGTTGTCCATTGAGTAGGACACTCTTGACAATATCCATCTAAAACACTAAAAATCTGGTCCTGCAACGAAACACCTGCCAATAAAATAAGATGCTCTGGAGTGCCTCGATTAAGTAGTATGTCCTCCAAATAAAATTCGGACTAATACTAACATTCAATGAAAAATTAA